ATAGAATATTGTTCTATCCACCTTTATACATATTTAAAATTTTAGATATAGACTACTAATTTGCAAATCCAACCGCCAAATTAGAATAGACTCCCTTCACAATGTTTCGTTTTCCGAAAGTTCCCCTGTTTTATGCGGCGCTGTTGCGTTCTAGTCCTCTTTTTTTCTCATCGTTTTTGCCTGTAAATCAACGGATTTTTTTTTCTTTCTTTTTTTCTTTTCTTTTTTTTTTTTTGCATGAAGGGGGGAGATAGAAATGAAGGCCAATACTAATAATTAAAATGTATAATGAGAAATATGTTTATATGTATATGATGATGTATGATAATGACAATAGAATGCAAGAATGCCGAAAATTTTCCAAAAGTTCCTCTGATTTATGTGGTGCTGTTGTGCACTAACTAGTCTTCTTTTCTACATCCTTTCTTTCTGTTGCAGTTTGCAAATTTGAGGATAAGTTTTCCGAAAGTTCCCCTGTTTTATGCGGCGCTGTTGTGTTCTAGTCCTCTTTTTTTTTTCTACATCGTTTTTGCCTGTAAATCAACATTGTTTTTTTTTTCTCTCTTCTTTTTTCTGCATGAAGGGGAAAAATAGAAATGAAGGCCAATACTAATAATTAAAATGTATAATGAGAAATATGTTTATATGTATATGATGTATGATAATGACAAAAATAGAATGCAAGAATGCCGAAAGTTTTCCAAAAGTTCCCCTGATTTATGTGGTGCTGTTGTGCACTAACTAGTCTTCAAATCCTTTCTACATCCAGTTTGTAAATTTGATGAGAAAATCTCTTTGATAATAAAATGTATAATAATAGTGATAACAATAAGAGTCTCTTATTGTATTATGTTCATTATGATATATATATATGGTAAAAATAATGATACCAATAAAATGTATAATGTAAAAGTTCAAAAATGCCGAAAGTTCCCCTGTTTTATGTAGCGCTGTTGAGCTAAAGTGGTCTTTCGGTCTACCGATTGCTTCAACGGATATCTAAAAAAAATAATTGTTCACGAAAGAATTAAGAGGAAAATGAGAAAAGAAAAAGGGATTGATTATAATAATAACAAATAATAATGCCGTTAATGATACTACTAAATTGTAGTGTAAAATAAAGATACACAAATAACCGAAAGTTTCCCGGTTGCGGTGCAAAAGCTTTTGTAGTATCATTATTTTTTTACATCCTTCCTTTTTGCCTATGAATGCTTAAGTGGGATGCTTGCTTGCCTGGAAAATTCAGTCACGACAGAAGGAAGGTAGGAAAACAAAAAGGGGGAAAGGGTTGATATTAATGATAATAAGATTCATGAAAACACAAAAAGGCCGAAAGTTCCCCTGTTTTATGTGGCGCTGTTGTGTTATGGAGGGGACAGAATTAGAAAAGGAGGAAAGGGGGAAAGATTTTGATACCTATTCCTTTTTATCTGTAAATTCGACCACGGCAAAAGGAAAGGGGGATGGGGGTTGATAATGATGGTAAGAAAATGTATAATGATACTGATAAAATGCAAAATGTATAGAGCTATTTTGTGTGGCGCTGTCGCGTCCATTTCTTCTTTTCTGCAGAAGAAAGGAGAACAAAAGAAAGAGGAGGATTGATAATGATAATGGTACAAAAAGTAAAAAGTTAGCTATATCTTTCGTTTGTCGAGGTTTTATTTTTATGTATATGCCAAAGGAAGGATTTCCAGTCTATAACCATCAAATAACTTCAGATGTAATCATGACCTGTGTGTGTGTGTGTGTGTGTGTGTGTGTGTGTGTGTGTGTGTGTGTGTGTGTGTGTGTGTGTGTGTGTGGTGTGTGTGTGTGTGTGTGTGTGTGTGTGTGGTGAAGAGAGAGAGAGAGAGAGAGAGAGAGAGAGAGAGAGAGAGAGGAGAGAGAGAGAGAGAGAGAGAGAGAGAGAGAGAGAGAGAGAGAATGAAAGATTTTAGAAGGTAACGAGAGGATTAGCAATATGAGATTTCGAAAATTGTAAAAAAATGAAAAGCTACCATAATGAAAGACTGTGGACACAAATCATATTTATACATTTCTACATCTGTTTGTGTAACTTCCTTATCTGTTTCCTCACCCTTCTTTCTCTCTATTTTTCCCGTTTTTCTCATCTCTGTTCCTGCTCGCTTTTTTCTTCCCTGTCTATCTTCACTTTTTCTTTCGCTCTGTCTGTTACTCCTTCCTCTTCTTTTTCGTCTGCTTCCCTTCACTTTTTTCCGTCTGTATTCCTTTTTCCGTTCATTGTCTTTATCTCTCTCTCCTCTTTATTTCTATCCTCTCCTCTGTTTCTTCCTCTCTGTTATCCACCCCCTACGCACTCCATGCATATTTGCCTTTACTCCCATCTTTTCTATCAACCCGTCTCTTCTTTTCTGGTAGCACTTCTTTCTCCCTGTATGTTTTTTTTTTTTTTTTTTTTTTCTTTCATTACACGACGTTCCCCCTCCCCTCTTTCTCTCTGTATTTTCCCTCCACCTCTTCATTGTCCTCTGTATTTCTATTTCTATTTCTTTGTTCTCCATTTCCCTTCCAGATTTCAAGTACTGGGAAGACGGTGGCGACGAGTACCACCCACTGGAAGGCTCCTTATTGCCTCTCTGGAAGTTCAGTCACGATAATTCCCGCAACCTTGTCGTTTCGGATATATCATGGAGTCCAGTTTACCCTGATCTGTTCGCCGCTGCTTACACTGCGGGTTAGTTGGCGTGAGACGGAAAGAAAAATTTGCAGGTTTATGTGGCTGTGCGGGTCCGTGTGTGGAGATGCGTGTGTGTAGGTGTCAGTTGGGGTGCTGGATGCGTGGATGATTTGGTGGGGGCGTGATGTGGATGCAGTATTGGAGGTTTGGGTGTGTCTCATATTGGTTGGTGTGTATGACTTGTGTTGACTTTTGTGTGGATGACTATCGGAGGTGCGGAGGTGTATGAGTGATCTCTGTGGATGCGGCAATGTGTGGATTCAATATTAAAGGTGTAGGCATATATAGCCTATTCTTGTAGACGTAGATAAATCGATGATATAGAGTACGTATAAGTAATAGTCACTGTATGAGCGGAATATGCATAATGTTAATGATGTGGATGTATGGTTGATAGATGAAGGAGCTAAATCAAGGATGACAGAGAAGAAGAAGAAAAAAAAAAAAAACAGTTAAATCATATATTGATAATCTGAGTATAACGAATGAATGAGAACGAAATGTAGTTTGACATTTGATAATCACGATAATCGCCAGTCAGGAAGTGAAGAAACATAAACACGAGAAAAACGTAGAGACGTGATAGAAAACATAATCAGAAACCTGGATAAAAGAGTGATTTAAAATTACTTCTGTAATTCTCCCAGGAAATCATAACACAAGTAAAACTGGCATAACAAAGAATTATTTTGACAACTAAAACAATAAAATGATCCAGGTCTCTTCTTATGCACGTCACACATGACAGCATAAATGGGTCATTTTGAGAACTTCCCACCTTATCTGCTTTTGTTCTTTGACCCTTTGATCAGGTCACGATAAACCTCGCTCTCAACCTAGGTCATATAAGGTTTACGAAGGTTTGTGTTGTAGAGAAGTGTTTCTTTATTTGAAAATATATTTACAACTAAGCTTGTTATATTTGCTTTGTTTTTGGCTTTTGCTTTTTGGATATCTCCCTTTCTTTTGTTTTATGTGCTCTGGATATCTTTAATTATTTTTATCTCCGTCTTCTTTTCTCTTAATTTTCGTGCTTTTACTATGTCTCTTTCAATCGCATTTTATTTTTGTTTTTTATTTTCTTCCTCTTTGCATTCCTCAATTTCTTAATGATGCTCTTATTTTCATATATTTTTATTCTTTCACTCTTTCTTCTTCCTGCCCCCTTCCTGCTCCCCTTTGTCCCCCTCCTCTTTCTCCTCCATCTACTCCTCCTCCTCTTTGCATCAACTCTCCCCCTCCTTTCCCTCCTTCTTTTTCCTCCTATTCCTCCTTCTTTCATTCACCCTCTTTGCATCAACTCTCCCTCCTTCCTCCTTTTTCCTCCTATTCCTCCTTCTTTCATTCACCCTCTTTGCATCAACTCTCCCCCTCCTTTCCCTCCTTCTTTTTCCTCCTATTCCTCCTTCTTTCATTCACCCTCCTTATTCTCTCTTTCCCCCCTCTCCCTCCTCCCCTTCAGGAGACATATGCGGGACCGACGGCGCGGGGATGCTGTGCCTTTTCACCCTTAAGAACCCCGCCTGCCCAGAAAGAACTCTGCGCTCGCCTTGCAGTGTGATGTGTGTCGGCTTTCATCCTACGGTACGAATAGGAGTTATAGGAGTCTAGTATTTTTTTCTATCCTATTCATGGATAAAAAAGTATGAATGAGGAAGGGGTATCTTCACAGCGCAAGTCTTTGATGCGTTTCGATCTTATCTTCATTGTATTTCTGAGGAAGATATAATCGATACGTGCCGAATACATTACTTGCACCGTGAAGAGATATTATCTGCATTGTCATAATGAATACTGTTTATCCTATTCATTTTTACGCTAGTCTTTTACGCTGATTGAATATATTCATTATGAGTGTGACGTTTTAGTCTGATTTTCTTTATTTCATTTTTCTCCATACTTCTTGCGTGCTATTCAGTTTTGATTTGTTGACATTTGATCTCTCTTTCGTACTTGTTTATCACAGTGGAGCTACTTGCGTATTCTTTTCTCCTTTTATTAATCAGGAAGACTCTCATTTACCTTTATTGTCATAATGAGAATCTGCAACTGTTTTTTCTCCATGTCATGTTAACTTCAACGCAATTTGGTCTGCTTATCTTTCTGTAAGATAATGATGTATGATACTCAGTACTAGTTTTAACAATAGATGTATGATAAATAAAAATCCGCAATTCCAAACGTCAGAAACATAACATAATAGACATAGAACTTGAAAACTGACGGAAGACAGGACAAAGGGATAACAAAAGGATGAAACAGGAAAACGGACTGTCCCATTCCCCAGCGCGGCAGTATGCTGGCAGCAGGTTGGAGCGACGGGACGGTGGTTGTGTACAACGTAGAATCCGTAGATGCAATAAGAGCAGTTGCTTCCACGGCCATGAACGGCAAGCACATTCTTCCTGTGTGTAAGGTGAGTGTTTTTTTTTTTTTTTGTATTTTGATAATTTGTGACTTGTAACTGATTATTCCAATTCATATTTAACCATTTTGTTGTGTAAATTGCTGCTTATACTATTGGTATTACAACTCCTTTGTCAATTGCTGCTTCTCCTTAACACTGATTCAAGAATAAGAAATAGAGAGACATAGGGGAAGGAGAAATGAGAAGTGCAGTTATAATATGTTAGATGTACGATGACCTTTTTCTCTATTTTGCTCTGCACATATACCATTGAACCCACTTCTTGCACCAATAGTTTTGCAGATTCTTCATCATACACGTATTTTCTAATCCAGGTCAAGTGGGTACACACTGACCCTGGCGAAGACCTCTCCCTCTTCTCTGTGGCAAAAGATGGTCGCCTCACACAGTGGTACTTCGGCGACTCTCGGTTAAAATCCAAAGACATTTTCAGCTTCACTCAGGACTTCAAAAGTGATAAAAGTTCTTTTGAAGGTGTGTAGTTGCATGGGAGAATATTTGCTGATATTCTAAAAATAGCGCCATTCTGATGTATTTCTTGCTAGGCGACCTGAAATACCCTGTGGCATATAGTATAAAAGTTTTCGATTGTATTTTTCAGTGGAATGTTTATGCTTGGTTTTCTCCGTGCTGCTTGTATCATATACCTGTCAACTGCTATAACCCATGCCTAATTTTTGCGATCAGATCAACAATTGCCCCATGGAATCGTTTCTTGTGTAAGAGTAGATTTTTAGATAGTGCTTGATGCTATAGCTTTTAGGCCGATATTCCATAAGTATTCTATGATAATTCAAAGGAATTTATATTATGGTACCCACATGAAATTTATCACACATAAAATGACCCTAATTATTTACGTATTATGTGTTTATTCTGAAACAGTAAATATGGAACCTAGGATAGGAAGTATAGAAATAGTGTATTTGTCGATATAGAGCATGAAAGGATATAAAAACGAATAGGAGAGGTAGGTCAAAGTTTATAAAAGTTTTATTTCTTTTTAACTCACTAGGCCAGGTCGCCTACTTCGGTGATTTATTTCCTGTGGATTACGCACTTCAGTCTCAATCTCAGTATGGGAATCTCAGTATGGGAAAGAAAGGGACAGTGTTTTTTATGAGTTTGAGATAAACAAACATGTCGTGTCTGAATATATATGCGTGTAAAATATCATGTAATTGCAGATGCTTCGTTGGTTTAGTATATAGTTAAATATGGGTTTCAAAGAACGCAGATTTATCCAACAGACATTCTAAGTACATTTATCATTGAAGTAGGAGTGACACGTGATATAGTTATGCTAATGCAACCGTATGACATTTCCCACTAATCATTGATATGTGATAAACAAACCTAACTCTAACGATATACACGTAAATAGGAAAGAGATAATAATAACAGTACCAATAACTATGAACCGTATTCATGTTGACAAATGTGGAAAGGTATGAATGAGAACGAATATCTTCACAATTCAAGAGATGTATTTAACCGGTTTCGATTACATCTTCGTCAGAAATACACGTATTTCTGACGAAGATATTATCGAAACCGGTTAAATACATCTCTTGTATTGTGAAGATATTCGTTCTCATTCATACCTTTCCACCAATAACTATGAATAAAACGATGACAATCAAAATCCCTCCATCATTGATACTTTGCAAGGAGATACGTATCTTCAACATCGTCACCCTTACCATAACACACAGGCACAGGTACGTGTATAGACTTCAGACCGGACAATGAAAGCGAACTCCTTGTGGGAATCGACACCGGACTCGTTATCCAGTGTTCTGTGTCCTGTTCGTCGCACACCTTTATCCGGTACCCCGCCCACTCTGCGCCCGTGAGAGACGTGGGCTGGAACAAGTATTATTACAAGATCTTCATCTCTTGTTCCGTGGACTGGTCGGTTAAAGTCTGGCTCCAGGATACTACGTGAGTGCTCATTTCTGTTCTATATGGATAGTGTTTTGATATTATTACCAGTGATGATTAATATCATTATCGTAATGGTTCTTGCTCTCAGTATTAGCATTAATACTGTTATTACTGTTATCATTGTTATTATGATCATTATTGCAATTATTATATCATTATCATTGCACGATTATGATAATCATCATTATCATTCATTATTATTATTTATCATTAATATATTATTATATTATTACTTTTAATCATTATTATCATTATCATCTCATTATTATTATCGTATATATCATTATTTAATTTTACATTACTTTCATTATCGTTGCTATTATTCTTATTGTTATTATCCTTAATATTATCTTTATTATCATTGTTATTACCATTGTTATTATTGTTATTATTGCCATTATCATTATTATCATTATCTTCA